GAATCAGGGACACCTGCAGCAAAGCAGCTTCCCCTCCACCCCACCCCAGACCCCTCATAGCCCCTCCTTCCGATAGTCCGGCATATATGATAATCCGACACCCTCTGGGTCCTAAAGGTGCTGGATTATCGGAATTTTACTGTATTTGTAAAGCACTCAGTATAATGGGCTCTTGACCCTTACTGGAGCTTCCAGGCACTACAGGTTGGACCTCCCTGGTCCAGCGTCCTCAGGACCTGACCAGTCCCAGATGAGGGATTTTGTCGAAACAGGGAAGGTAATTTCTGAGCCCTCCCCACCCTGTGCAGGCCTGGTCCAGCCCGCTGGTCTACCAGACACACACTCCCCACCAACGTGCTAGGGGCTCCTGGCCCTGCCAGGCAGCTACACACCGGGTCTCCCAGGCCTGCTTAGTGGCTGCGCCTGCAGCTTGTTGCACACAGTCCACTATCCTGCTGGCCCCGCAGGGCTCGCTGCTTCTGGCCCTCCAGCAGGACTCTCTTGTCCTGCAACATCTGTGCTAGACCATAGAGGTTGGCGGACCAGAGAGTTTTAACCTGTACCATTAAAAAAAACTACAAAGTAGTTCACATCACAAAACAAAAGCTGGCAGAGTACAGATCTCACATCCGTCAAGTTTCAGCAAAGTAGCTAAGAAAAGACAGGGCCACCAAATTAGCCCATTGATTCCTAGAAGTGGCATTTCCAGATCAATGAGGAGTCGCAGACATGTGTGTCTAAGGAAGCTCATATTTTTGCTATCTATGCCATACTTGTTTTCTGGCAAACACTTCAGATCTGCCATTCTAGCACAGGGCTCCCTCTAAGGGTACGTCTAGACTACATGCCTCTGTCGTCAGAGGCATGTAGATTAGGCTACCAGACATAGTAAAATGAAGCGGCGATTTAAATAATCACCGCTTCATTTAAATTTACATGGCTGCCGCACTGAGTCAACAGACAGCTGATCAGCTGTTTGTTGGCTCAGCGCGATAGTCTGGACGCGCGGGTGGCGACATCAAAGGTATTTGTTGACCACCCAGGTATGCCTCCTGGGATGAGGTATACCTGGGTAA